GTAATAACTCTATCTAATAACTCAGAGGCCATGAGGGCAAGAGGAATAATTGTTTTAGTAAAATCCAACTAGTTGGTCAAAAATAGACTTTAATCCTTTTTTGCCGCCAAAAAGCCGATGCTTTTCGCTACTTAGTCCAGGGCCATGTGTCCGAAAAATCGTTCTCGTGGGCGTTTTATGAACATTGAAGTTTCTTTGCAGAAACTTACAGATTAAATGGTGCTGTATGGAAAAAAGTTGTCTGCAATTTTTCAGAGCCATTTAGGCCTGTTTTATGCAAATTAGATATGACGTCATTATATAGCTGATGATTGACAACAAAATGCCTTCAGTTTGATTCGCGACTTTTTGTATCAAATATAATAAATGCATTTACAACTGCAGTTTACATCACATTTTGACTGTTACAAGGAATGAACGAATGGATCAAATATTTAAAGCAAAATACACGGGTTGTCATTTCAGAAACATCTTTTCTTTTCTCCAGTTATTTACTACATCTTTTAATGAATCCTCTTTGAATTTACGAGTCCAATTCTCCAGCTTTTTATAGTTCTCTTTCTGTTCTCTGCCGATTTTTAAACACCAGAAAATATATGGTATAATCCTGTCTGAGTCCAACTAGAAAAGGCATGCGTTTTGATGGTCTCCCCGTGGTTTAAAACTCAACACCTTATTTGCTTATAGTTTATTCTTCCTCTCTTATTTGATTTTAGTGTGCGAAGGCATATTTACCTGACGACTACTACTGTGTATGCGATTTATCTGGAAAAAAACCGCAAGATTATGGAGTTTTATTTATTTATTATTATCAATTTGCCGCATTAAAACAATACATTCACTTATAAAATCAAATGGGTGTATACTATGTTTAGGAAGGTCCTACAGTCAAGAGACGACCTGGTTTTCTGAATCGGCGAGATGCACATGATCATGCACAATGACCTCTTAACGCACTCTTGGGGCATCAATCGAGGGCAGTTGCTTTTACGAAGAATGGATAGCGGAGGGGATATGGCTCAAATACAATGCGCTAGATTCTTGAAGGGGAACGTATGAAGCGTACTCAGACCTCACAGCATAACAGACTCTGCTCTAAGTGATGTGCATATGGAGACGTTTTTGAAGAGCGAAGCTGATTACACAAATGTGATACTAGCATCCTTTGCGATGAACAGGAAGGTCGATACTGTGAGCGAGGGACGAAACACAACTCAAAGACTTTTTAATCGCAATGGAAACCGGCGGGCCTCAAGAGAGGCTTTTGCGATTTGATAAGGTCATGGAGTCTCCGTGTTACTACTAATTCAAGTTTGCACAGGACTACATGAAGTTTGCAATGTGTATCTTGCTGTTCATACGCGCATCAAGAGAGGGAGACTGGAATCTTCACCTTGAGTCCCTCAAGGCTTTGGCACGGTTTTTCTTTGCTCAAGGCAGGCTGGGTTTTGCACGAATGGTGCCACTATATATATCTAGCGCAGATGCACAGGTTTAAGATCGATGATCCCTATATTTGCCTTGAATTCATGCAAGGAAACTTTTGTATAACTAAGAAGGAGCGCCCATTCTGTGAAATTGGTCCGGACCTTCCTAGAGAACACGTCAACAAGTTGATGAAGGTTCGGGGAGGACACAGCAACCAGCAGCCATGGCAAAATGGTTCCTTGTGGCACCAGAACTAAGTCGAACTTGCGGCGCAAGCTGAGGACATGGTGCGATTACAAAGAGCTTCATCATCACACCATCGTGATTTAAGCGATGTGCTAACAAAGCGCTTTTACGAGAATGTACAGAAGCTTAAAGATGTGCTTAAAGTGAGTGACCCTTTCGTGACAAAAAGTCATCTGGTGAACATCATCACAAAAGCAGTTATGCTAGATTACATCAAGGAGGGAGTGCTAATGCAAAATGGCATCGGTCAGGCGTATTTTGGCACATTAGTTTGTTCAAGCACAAATCGTCGAGGCCCCAAGAAAAAGGCACATTTAAAGTCATGGAAGTTTGCTTGGCAAACAAAGAAAAACAAAACAACTAGTGGAATCGCACCCATAAAGGATGACAGAGCTCTCTTCACACGTTTCTTAGTTTTGATTCTCTCACGGCCTGATCTTCACATGGAGGATACCATAAGCACTTTTAAGTTAGCTGAGTTTCCGAGTACACCCTTCTCCTCTGATGGCCGTTTGCTACACTGCATTGCTAAGAGCAAGCTGATTAACATCCTAGAAGTCCTTCTACGCCATCAGTAGCCACAAACGCATACAGTACAACCTCGCTCTCCAGACCCTTTCAGTACGCCTTTGGTAATTTTTTTTGTCATTGCAGCAGTTCAGTCACTGGGAGCGCCATCGTTGGTAAGAAACAAGCGTGACCTAGCAAGCCATTTCATAGAAGTCGTTGATGCTAAGACTAATGTTTCCACCGAGGTTCATGTTGTATTTGACCGCTAGTAGATCCCCTACTCCTTAAAGGAAGTAACGCGCCAGTTTAACAACTGGTTATAAACAGAGCAGGGATATACAATGATTACTGTCGATGTTGTTATTGACAAGACAACTATGAAAGATCCTTTGAACTGCAACCAGAATAAGGAGGCACTGGCTATAATCCTTGCAACACAACTCATCGAGTGCAAGAAAGACTCACAGATGATGTATGTAGTAAATTCTAAAGGTGACTGTATGACATCTAATACCGTACCGATTCAACACTTAAGGAGTGATCAGGAAGAAGCAGACACCCGTATGCTCCTGTATGGTCTAGACGCCACAAAGAGAGGAGAAAAGTCCACATTCATTCAGAGCCAAGATACAGATGTACTCGTTCTGATGCTCTGGACTTACAAGGTACTTTGTCTGGATACTACATTGACTGCAGAGACAGAAGGAAAAGGAAGAAGTACTCCACTAGGACCACTCTACGAGGTGGTCGGAGAAGACCTCGTGAAGGCTTTACCTGGCTTTCACGCTTTTTCAGGATGTGATCAGACAGGCACCATCAGTGGAAAAAGCAAAGTGTGTTTTTAGAATAATCTAAAGAAAGCCAAACGACCGATGCTCGATGCCTTCTCTAGGCTAGGAAACAGCGACACCATCCCAGATGATATGTACATAAAGCTAAAGCGCTTCGTCTGCCAGTTGTACATCCCATCGACACAGCTGAGAGAGCCCTAGGAGAGGTCAGATTCTTTCTTTATAGCAAGAAACAATAACTATATAAACCGCTACACCCTGCTAAAGCAGCCGTACACAAGATGACAAAATTAGTTAATCTCGTTGCATTGGTATGGAAGTCTTGCGACAACCCAATACTAGCATTCCTAGCCCAACGTTACACGGATGGCAACAAGATGGGGATGCAGCCTGTTCCAACCACACTCCCTACCAGCACCTTTGTCCGTTCTGCAGCTGATCCAGTGTGGATGAAATTCGCATGCAACACTGTACGTGCAGGAAGCACAAACTATAATGCACAGATATGTCTGGTTCATGTAAAGTGAAACGTACGAACTGGAACTTTAACACTGACACAGTTAAGCATGTTAGAAGGGATAACAGTGACGATGAGGACCTTCAAATCTAGTCCCACCAGCTAAGAATTCTAAATTTCGGAAAAGGCATTATAGAAGCTTTATATGATAGAACAGACTTAAAAGCGCGCTTGTGCACAGTTTCTTTTGCATTATGTGAGTGATTTCGGCTATGTATAACAAAGCCAGACTTGAGTAACCTGTGTTTTAGGGGTCATGAATGTAATTTGCATAAATTAATCTTACATGACTTCGAAAAAATTGCAGACAACTTTTTTACGATTTAACACCTCTTAAACTTTAGATTTCTTCCAAGAAACTAAAATGTTCATGAAATGCCCACGGGATTACACATGGCCCCGGACTAACTAGTGGGCTATAACAACTAGCCTAGTAGTAGCTTAATCAATCAGAACGCAGCATTGATAATAGACCACTAGTTGGATTTTACTAATAAACTATATTCCTGTGACAAACATTCTGCATAATGCTAGACCTGGAATGTCGATTGACATGTGCTTATGCATAATGATAGAAATGTGATGGTTAATTTTTAGCCTGTTGAATATATGAGAAAGATGTTTTTTTTCAGTCAGAGACACCTAAGGCGGTTCGCTGGAAAAAAAAAACCGAGTTCTTCCAAAATCGAGGATATCGTCTGATACTGGAAAACTTCCTACAATCATTGAAGGGTCACTCACTTAATTAGCAATTAATGAATGAGGCTGAGCAGGATATGAAGAATTATGCTGATCGAGGAGGGCGTAATCCACCGAGGCTGATTGCCGAGGTGGATAACACCCTCCGAGATCTGCAAAATTCTTTATATCCTACCAAAGCCGAATTCATTAATTGCTTTATTATTCATTCAAAATAATTCCTAGTTTGAAAACAAGCTAAAATATGCTTACCTTCGTCGAAGTTAGGTTCACCTCGACAGTGCATGTTTAGAACATAAAGGCTGTTCAGGTCTGCAAATATACTCCAAATAGCAGACGTTGTCTGTCGAGTTGTCTTCTTGCTATGTTTTTAGACAATAGTTAGTCGTTAAACGAGTAAAATGTTCCGCCGACTGTTTAGCCATTTTTCTTTTCACAACCACAACAACTCAACCTCGTCCTCAAGTCTTCAAGGTTAACGGTTCATTAACCTGCAACAGTGCCGCACTTTTGACGTCATCGGTTGATTAATCGCAAAATTCTTCCAAATTTGGTCAACGGTAGCTAGTTATGGTCAATTATGCGCGAACTTTTAGCCAATCAGAAACTGAGAAATATTTTGAATGAATAATCATTAACAATTAATGAATGAGGCTGAGTATCTTATGAAGAAGTATGGAGATCTCGGAGGGTGTTATCCGTCGAGGTCGTAGGCGGAGGCGGATAACACCTTCCAAGATCTCCATAATTCTTCATATGATACGAAAGCCGAACTCAATAATTGTTGAATTATTCATTCAAAATAATTCCTAGTTTAAAAACATAGCTTAAACATGTTTACCTCCATCTATGTTAAGTTCATCTTCGATAGTGCACGATTAGGGTTGTTCAGCCCCGCAAATATTCTCCAAATAGCAGATGTCGTCCCTCGAATTGTCTTCTTGCTGTTCTTGCCATGTTTTTAGCTATTATCTCGCCTAGTTCTTACTCTTGAAACGAGTGAAATGTCCGCCATTTTTGTTTTCACAACCAAAACAACTCAACCTCGTCCCCAGGTCTTCTCGGTTAACGGCGCATTAACCTGCAATGAAGCTGCACTTTTGACGTCATCGGTTGATTAATCTCAAAATTCTTCCAAATTTGGTCATCAGTAGCTGGTTATGGTGAATTATGCGGGTGCTTTTAGCCAATCAGAATCGGGGAAATATTTTGAATGAATAATACTGACCTGTTTACGTCCTCGCTTGAGTGTATAGCTTTAGAAGTATAAATCTTCCCTTACTATGCACTAGTTAAAAAATATAACAGGATAGCTACAGGATGATGGTAAACTCTGAAACTGTCTAAATATTTATTATTATTATTACTATAATTATTATTGTTATTATTTTCATTATTATGTGGCAGTATAAAACTTTGGAATGCTGTCCACATTACGAGTAGTATAGGGCGCATAACGTAACCTACACCACTTGACAAGCTATAGTTAGAAGTAAAAAAAGGTCGTTACGAAACCTAATACGATCCTAATATACATAATGATATGAATCTCTCTACGTAAAAAGCCACTTTAGAATATTATTAAATTCTTATACTCTGTAAAACCTACGCAAAGACATGATAATATAATTGTCTCTACTAGAAGCCTATTTAGAAAATTATTATTATTATTATTATTATTATTATTATTATATTATCATCATTATTATTATTTATTTATTTATTTATTTATCTATTTTTTTAGGAGAGAAGAATGTGGAGAAATGCTTTGAAACCCAGCGTTCGTTTAAACTTATGGGCCCCCTGGTTGACACTGAATTTTACCCAGGGTGGATCGACAATTGGGGTGTGAAATTCCAGCACCGAGACGCTGAGGTTATCGCCAACGATTTCGATACTTTGCTGAGCGCCAACTACTCTGTAAACGTGTACGTGTTTCATGGCGGGACGAATTTTGGATTCATGAATGGTAATCTGTTCAAATCCTGATCAAACCCACCTATAAGCACCATAAACAATGGTATTCTTTACACTAGAACCTAAATAAGCTAAGAAATATTTCGAGACAAGTAAATTTGAAATTCTTCGAGTAAAATTAAGCTTCACTTAGAACTTAAAGCTTTTTTCCCACGCAACATAATTAAGATTGATCGACATGATTTGCCTTTCTCAAAGCTCAAGAAACCGGAAGTTGCTAAGTCAGTTGTAAGGATGGTTTTCAAGTCACTTGAAACTTGCTTGAATCGTTTCAACTTTCCGACTTTAATGAGATGCAAAGTAAAATAACTTGAGATTCCACTTAGGCCTTCACTCACATATCTTTGGTTAAGTAATAACTTAGTCTTACTTAAAGACCTAGTGTAAAGACAACTAGTGACTAGTGTGTTTTTTGATGGCTTTAATATCTAAATACTACGAAACCTCGCCTTGGGAAAATTGCGCTGGCCTCTGAATAACCTGTGTAAGGTGAAGTTCATTCTAGGTTTTGTCAAGTCGGCAGTAACAAAATTTTGCTATGACAGTGTCAATTCTAGAGCTTCGGTTGTAGTTGCTCTGTGTGATTTAATTCTGTCCAAAAATTTAGAGCGACATTGTGCAACCTTTTGGCACATCATATAAAAAAGGCTTGTAAAATGGAAAGGTTGACAAAATATTTCCATGACAAAAAAAAATCTTTAAAGGTTTTCCATTTACACGACCAAAGAAATCCAGCCAATTGAGGGTCATCAAATGAGGCCAGAGAGTTGAAGCAACTCATTTATAGAGCCGAGACTGATCATTGAAGACTGCACTTTGTTTCAGATTTACTTTTGATTGGTGGAAAAAAATGGCAGGATAGCCTGCTTTAGCCAGTCATCACAAGGCTCAGTACCAAAAATCAAGTCACGAGTACATCTCTATTGGCTAGATATCTTTCGTCGTGGAAATGTGAAATCTTATTCAAATGTATAATCGTGATGATTTCATCGCAGAAACTGTCTTTATCAGGTGCTAATTTCTACCACGGCTATAAGCCTCAGATAACCAGCTACGACTATGACGCCCCCATTAGTGAATCAGGAGAACTTACAAAGAAGTACTTTGCTATGAGGGAAGTGATTTTAAAACATCGGGGTCTACCACCTCTACCTGTTCCTGTATCCATACCGAAACAAAGCTATGGAAACATCTACATGACCAAGGTAAACACTTAAACCTTTACTTCAAATGGCACGAAACAGATTGTGTAGTTTGAAAAACAAATGGTGCAAAGTGAAAGTAGTACCGATGAGGATTGGGTTGAAGGGTCACTCACACATTAGTAAATTC